GTTTAGGGTTTAGGGTTTAAGTTTTTAGGGTTTAGGGTTTAGGGTTTAGGGTTTAGGGTTTTAGGGTTTAGGGTTTAGGGTTTAGGATTTAGGGGCCTGTGGCCCAAAACCCAATGCCCTGACAACGAAGCTGCGAATGCGGAGACTTCGGAGGTGGCGCGGGTTGTAATTTTAGCAGGGCATGTCTTTGTACGTTCTGCGATTCGTAGGTTTTTTGAAGGTATCTTCATGGTTTTATCACAGTTTTTTGTGTGCTTTTACACGTGCTTTTAAAGCATTGTATGCGTTTTAAAGGGGCTTTGTCATGGACTCCGTGCCCCCCACGATCGTCGTACGATCTTTCAATGACTTAGGCCCTAAACCCTGAACCCTNNTTAAGGTTTAGGGTTTAGGGTAACCCTAAGCCCTAAACCCTAAACCCTAAACCCTAAACTGCTTCAATCAAAAGCTTTGGGAGTCTCTGGGAGATTCGGTAGCCCTGGACTGCTGAAGGGGTGAACTTCTTCCCTGTAGCTTCGCCAACCCTAAACCCTAAAGGTTTAGGGTTTTGGGTTTAGGGTTTAGGAAGCAAGCAAGGTTTAAGGTTTTGGGGTTTAGGGTTTAGGATTTCGGAAGTAAGGTTGAGGGTTTTGGGGTTTAGGGTTTAGGGTTTAGGGTTTAGGAAGTAAGGTTTGAAGTTTTAGGGTTTAGGGTTTAGGGTTTAGGAAGTAAGGTTTAAGGTTTTGGGGTTTAGGGTTTAGGGTCACAGATTTTCCGAATTCCCACAGGCACGCGCTCCCGCCACCTGCAAACCTTGGGGGCTTCGGGTTTAGGTCGCGTAGAGTTCAGTTGTTTAGGGGTTTAGGGGCTTAGGGGCATAGGGGTTTTGGGGGTTTAGGGGCTTTGGGGTTCAGGGTAGGGGTTTAGGTGCTTAAAGGCTTAGGGGTAAAAAGGCTTAAACGCTTAGGGGCTTTGGGGTTCAGGGTTTAGGGGTTTAGGGGTTTAGGGGTTCAGGGGCTTAGTTTAAGGGTTTAGGTTTTAGGGTTTAGGGGTTTAGGGGTTTAGGGGTTTTGGGGTTTTGGGGTCAAGAGGTTTGGGGTTTAGGGTTGAAGCTAAAGCCGCACAGGCATGGACCGTACGCCCCTCATCTTCAGCATCAGTCGCCTCCTTCAACTTGGTTTTGCCATTGAGGGTGGCATGCTCCTGGGAAGTTCAGATTTCGCAGGGTTTGCAGCAGGTGTAACCCTTCAGACAAAGCCTCTAAAGAAATGGTGGAAAGACCTATTTGCTAAAGCCAGTTATTAAAACTGCAAAACCCTAAACCCGAAACCCCAAACCCTACCCTAAACCCCTAAACCCCTAAACCCCTAAACCCTAAACCCTTAAACCCTCAACCCTCAAACCCTAAACCCTTAAACCCCAAACCCCTAAATCCCAAAACCCCAAACCCCCAAACCCCCAAACCCTAAACCCTTAAAACCCCGAAGCCCGATACCCGGAAGAAGAGGGCCGACGCGTGGGGAGGGACGGACTTCTCCGGGCCTCAACGATTTTGGGGGCTCCAGGGTCCAACGTTGAGGGGTTTGGGCTTTTTGGTAAGTGGGGGCTTTAAGCTTCGGGTCTAGGGTTTAGGGTTTAGGGCTTAAGGGTTTAGGGTTTAGGGTTTAAGCTTTAGGGTTTAGGGCTTAGGGCTTGTAGGGTTTAGGGCTACGGCGCTGTACTGCTTTGGCGTCTGCGCTGTTGGCTGCGGAAAACCATGAGACCCTAAACCCTAAACCCTAAACCCTAAACCCTAAACCCATGAGACCCTCAACCCGGAAGCCGGGACCCGAAACCAGAAGCCCCGCCCACCCCAAACCCTAAGCCATAGAGACCCCTACCTTAAGAACCCAAAACCTACCTTTTTCTTTGTAGGGCCCCCTATAAATTCCATATTAGGGTTTATAATAAGAACCTACAAAAAAATGGGTTTTGGGTTCTTAAGGTAGATTGTAGGATCCTCTCTCTAAAGACTAAGACTTCTTCACAACTCACCGCTGGTTTCAGGAGGGTAGCTGTCGCAACCGCTTCTCGCGACCCTTATCACACCCGCAATCCTTAAAGGAACCCTGAAAGAACCCTTGAAGGAACCCTTGAACCCTAAACCCCTAAACCCTAAACCCTAGAGGAACCTCTTGGGGGACCCATGAGGAACCCTCCAGTTAGGTCCTAGACCCTTTTTTTAGAACCCCATGTCTTGGCCCAGCGTCGAGGAATCGGCGGATCTTCCGTCCGAAGCAGATGAAGATACAGAGCAGCGCCACCGACATCAGCGCCAGCCATTGAACCTTAGGTTTTGGGTTTAATTAGGGGTTTAAGGGTTTAGGGGGCGTTTAGGGTGTAGAGCTTTAGGGTTTAGGGGTTTACGGGTTTAGGGTTGAGGGGTTTAGGGTTTAGCGTGTAGGGTTTGGAGGCCACCCCTTAAAGGAACCCGGAAAGGAACGCTGGAACATCCGAGGAACCGGGCCCAGAAATACCGCCGTAGAGGAGCACGCTCGGCATCGGCCGGTATCCGGCTCCTTGGCTTTTAGGGGTTTACGGTCCTTTCAAGGACCCCCTTTTAAGGGTTTAGGGTTTAGGGTTTAGGGTTTATTTAGGGTTTAGGGTCCTATAAGGCTTCTAATCCATAATGGATTGTGGGTTGAGGGGTGTAGGGGGATCTCGGATCTAGTGACTTTTAGGGTTTAGGGTTTAGGGTTTCGCTAAACACTTGAAACCCCTAAACATCCTCAACTCCCCCAAAGTCCCTAAACCCCCCCCCTAAAATGCTGGGCTACCCTGTAAAACCATACAAACTTCTCGTAGCAGGCGATACGACCCTTATCGGAACAACTCAAAACCAATTCCTAAGCGAGACTCCTAAGCCCTAAACCCTAAACCCTAAACCCTAAACCACAAATGCGGCCCAAGGTCCCGGAAGAACATGTCGGAACATTCTTCACATCTGGGCCCCTCATGGCCCTGTTGACAGCCCTCGTCCCCAACGGCGGTACCACCGATACCTGAACTGTGACGATGATGATGCATGCGATCGGATGATGAAACTAACGCTTAGGGTCGGCAAGATGATCTTGACTATGCGGCGATGACGACTGAGCATTATGATGGAAACGATGGCGATCGCGATGATGCTGGTGCTGCCGGTGGTGCTCTGGTGGTGGTGCGGGTGCATCTGCGCCTTTTTTGCCTGCAACGTCTTGTCATGGTCAACGATTCGTTTTGATGTGAATTCAGCACCATGACCGGGCCGTGTCAGCCATGCTTTTCTGTTACGATGATGACGATGATGATGATGATGATCATGGTGATGCTGGGGGGTCGTCATGAGGGTGGCGATGGTCATGGTGATGGTGATGGTGATGGTGATGGTGATGGTGATGGTGATGGTGGTGATGACGGTGGTGATGATGATGCTGGTGATGGTGAAAATTATGTTGGTGATGATGATGATGATGGTGATGATGATGATGATGATGATGATGAAGGTGATGATGATGATGATGATGGTGATGTTGATGATGATGATGAGTGATGATAGTGATGATGATGATGATGATGATGATGATGAAAGTGATAATGGTAATGACAATGGTAATAGAAATAGTAATGGTAATGACAATCATGAGGATAACAATAACAATGACAATGACGATGGTAAGGATTATGATGATGATGACGATGATGATGATGATGACGACGGTGATGGTGGTGACGATGGTGGTCATGGTAATAAGAACACTGCTGATGGTGCTGGTAATGGTGATGCAATAATGCTAATCTTGCTGTTCATGATTGTAATGCTAATCATGAAAAATGCTAATAATGCTAAAAATGCGCATAAGGGGAATAGTGCTAAAAATGCTACTCATGCTAATCATGCTGTTGGTATTGGTGCTGGTGCCGGTGCTGGTGCTCCTTGCTGCTGCTGCTGCTGATGCTGGTGCTGGTGCTGGTGCTGGTGCTGGTGCTGCTGCTGCTGCTGCTGCTGCTGCTGCTGCTGCTGCTGCTGCTGCTGCTGCTGCTGGCGCTGGTACTGGTACTGGACGTAGTGCTGGTGCTGGTTCTGGTGCTGGCGCTGGCGCTGGTGCTGGTGGTGCTGCTGCTGCTGCTACTGCTGAGGAGGAGGAGGAAGAGGAGGAGGAGCAGGAGCACGAGGAGCGTATTAGTATTGTTGCTGCTTAGTACTTAACCTCCGAACCGCCAGAGACTACGCCTTCCTATACCGCATTCAAGACGCAGGCATCTTCAGTGCTGCATTCATAGACGTCGGCAACATCCCGTACAAATCGCCAGTAACCTGAGGTGCTTTGGGGTTAGGATGCATCGGTTTGGGGAGTCGGGTGTAAGGACTAGGTTCAGGCTCGGAACCAGCAGTTTCGGGATTTAAAGTTCGAAAGGTCGGGCACAGGATCACCTCAAGCCTCTGCTTATCATTGTATCACCATACGCATCATCATCACCATCATCATCATCATCATCTTTCCTGAACGCGCTGTCGCCACCATCATCGCCAGTAAGGCTAACAGCATCACCATCATCATGCTTATCATCATCATCACCATCATCATCATCATCACACCACCATCATCGTTTTCACCACAGTCCTTACCACCTGCTTCTTGTAAATCCTCAACGTCTCATCACCTTCCTCTGCGCCTCCATCATCTTCTTCATCATTGCGGCCATGGTGGCCTTCTCTAATGTGCTGAAACAGTAGCAATGAGTTTAAGGTGTTCGATAAAGGATGGCTGCAACGGTCGAACTTATGTTCTTTGACTTGGCTGCCTGGATTGCCTCATCCAAGAAAGCTCCTCAATCCCAGGCCCCTTAACCCCTCAACCGCCAACCCCTGGAACCCTGAAGCCCTAAGCCATAAAGCCCTGAAAGCCCTAAACTGGGAAGTTGTGCAAAAAAATACGCGATCAGTAGCCGCTATATCCCCCATATAGTCCTTAATCAAAATAATCGGGACTCCCCTAAACCCTAAACCCTAAACGTGTTGCTAGTTTCTCCGCCCTTGGCTTCCAGTTCTACTGCGGATCAGCGTTCCGTTCTTGTGCGCCCGAAGATACGGCCCGACAGACGAAACCCAAAACCAGAGTTTCGGTTTAGGGTTTAGGGT